CTTGTACTCAGGACCAATTGGGTATGGAGACTCGGTTCAAGCAGAGACAATGGCACTCCTACAAGGCCTGAAAGTAGAAGAACAATTAGAAGCTAGAGATTTGGAGGGGGGGACTCACTTCTGGTTATTGCTTGGGCTAAGCAAGTAAACTCAGCACCATGGAAGTATAAAATTGCATTCAGGGAGATCAATTCTCTTACTAAAAGATTTAACTCCACTTTTGGATGGGTTAAAAGGACAGGGAATGGACTGGTAGCAAAACAGGGAGTTCATAAACCTACTCTATTTTGGGCTAAACTGTAGCTGGCTGTATCACAGCAGTGGGAGGTTGATCTACATAATCTGGGTTTATTTGTGTGAGCGTCGAAAAACGGCTCACTTGCCACTTGAGCTAGAAATGGAATCTTTGTGTGATGAAGGGGAAAATAAAGGCAGTTTTGGGTGAAACTTCTCCGAGTGGGGTTTTTGGGTAGTCTGAGATAATTCATAAAATCAGATTGAGCCAACTGGGCCCGGATCGGGCAGACCTAGAATCCAGTCAATCCAGAGCCTCGAAATGGAATCTTTGTGGGGTCGAGGGTAAGTGAAGGTGTTTTGGGCTGGAATTTCGTATGTAGGGGTTTTTTGGTATTCTGGGGTGATTGGAAAAGTTTGATTGGTCTACATGTGTTCGGATCGAGTGGATATGGGTTATGGGTGTGAGAATGTTCAAAATAGTATCTTTGTTTGATGGATGGATGAATGAAGGAATCTTGAGTTCAAATTTCATGAGTACGGGTTTTGGATGTTCCGGGTCTAATGGTTGTGTCTGATCTAATAGTTAAGGTGCAAGTGAGGGTCAATCGGGACCATCAAATAGGTATCGGGTAGGTTTAACGGTGGATCTGAAGGCTCTCGGGGTGAAATTTGGGTTTTCTGGGTTTTTGGGTGTTTCGGAGAGGTCAGAAGGGTCTAATCGGGTGTTTGGGGTGAATTGGAGGTTCAGGGGCAGACCGAGCAAAAATCGGGTACTGACACAGCTGCCCCTCTTAGCACACAGCTATTTTTGCGAAGGACAAGCTTGGAAGAGGGGCAAGACGAGGAAGGAGAATTGCGGTAAGGAAAGGCAAAGAAGAAGAGGAATTCCCGTGCAGCACCCTTTCATTACGTTCCGACCATTTTATTCTTGGCAAAGCGACCTTTCCTGGGTATCAAGAACCTTCGGAATCAAGGTATATTTGCCTTGAAAGAAAACAATTGATAATAGAAAAACTATTTGGAGAAAAGACCCCTCCTTGCGGAATCAGGGATACGTCTGCAAAAACTAGATTTGACTAAACCTACAAGAAACTGTATCTGGATAAATCTGCGAAAACTGGATTAAAGTAAATCTGTGAAATTTGGATCTAGGATAAAACTATGAGAACTGGACTTACTCTGGATTTGGGAAAAATCTGGATTAAAGTACATCTGGATCTATGAAAACTGGATTAAAGTAAATCTGTGAAATCTGGATCTGGGAAAAATCTGCGAAAACTGGATTAAAGTAAATCTTCAAAATCTGGATCTGGGAAATCTGCTTTTCTGGGCTAAAAGTACATCTGTGAAATCTGGACCTGGGAAAGCTGGATTAAAGTAAATCTGTGAAATCCAGATATGGGAAATCTATGAAAAACTGGATCAGAGTAAATCTAGGAAATCTGGATCTGGGAAAACAATTGCGAAAACTGGATTAAAGTAAATCTTCGAAATTTGGATCTGCGAAATCTGTTTTTCTGGGCTAAAAGTACATCTGTGAAATATGGATCTGGGAAAGCTAGATTAAAGTAAATCTGCGAAATCCATATATGGGAAATCTGTGAAAAATTGGATCAGAGTAAAACTGGGAAATTTGGATATGGGAAAACAATTACGAAAACGGGATTAAAGTAAATCTGGGAAATCTAGATCTAGGAAAACTGGATTAAAGTAAATCTGTGAAATCTGGATCTAGGAAAAATCTGCTAAAACTGGATTAAAGTAAATCTGCAAAATCTGGATCTAGGAAATCTGTGAAATCTGGGCTAAAAGTACATCTATGAAATATGGATCTGGGAAAGCTGGATTAAAGTAAATCTGCGAAATCCGAACCTGGGAAATCTATGAAAAACTGGATCTAAGTAAATCTGGGAAATTTGGATCTGGGAAAACAATTGTGAAAACTGGATTAAAGTAAATCTGGAAAATCTAGATCTGGGAAAACTGGATTAAAGTAAATCTGCGAAATCTGGATTAATGCAAAATTTGGATCAAAAAAATCTACGAAAATTGGATCTAATAAAATCTGGATTAAAGTACATCTAGATCTGTGAAAATTGGATTAAAGTAAATTTGTGAAAATTGGATCTGGGATACATCTGCGAAAACTGGATCAAGGAAATCTACAAAAAACTAGATCTGGGAAAAACTGGATTAAAGTACATCTAGATCTATGAAAACTGGATTAAAGTAAATCTGTGAAATCTAGATCTAGGATAATTCTGCGAAAACTGGATCTGGGAAATCTACGAAAACTAGATTTGGGAAAAATTGGCTTAAAGTACATCTAAATCTATGAAAACTGGATTAAAGTAAATCTGTGAAATCTAGATTTGGGATAAATCTACGAAAACTGGATCTGGTAAATCTACAAAAACTAGATCTGGGAAAATCTGGATTAAAGTACACCTGGATCTGGGAAATCTGCGAAAATTGGGTTCGAGTAAATCTTTAAAAAACTGGATCTGGGATAAATCTGCAAAAACTGGATCTGGGAAAATCTGGATTAAAGTACATATGGATATGGGAAATCTACGAAAACCGGGTTCGAGTAAATCTGTAAAAACTGGATCTAGGATAAATCTGGGAAATCTACGAAAACTAGATCTGGGAAAATCTGGATTAAAGTACATCTGGATCTAGGAAATCTACGAAAAATTGGGTTCAAGTAAATCTTTAAAAACTAGATCTGGGATAAATCTGCAAAAATTGGATCTGGGAAATCTACGAAAACTAGATCTGGGAAAATCTGGATTAAAGTACATCTAGATCTGGGAAATCTGCAAAAACTGGGTTCAAGTAAATCTATAAAAACTGGATCTGGGATAAATCTGTGAAAACTGGATCTGGAAAATCTACGAAAACTAGATATGGGAAAATCTGGATTAAAGTACACCTGGATATGGGAAATCTGCGAAAATTGGGTTCAAGTAAATCTGTAAAACTAGATCTGGGATAAATCTACGAAAACAGGATCTGGGAAATCTACGAAAACTAGATCTGGGAAAATCTAGATTAAAGTACATCTAGATCTGGGAAATCTACGAAAACTAGGTTCAAGTAAATCTGTAAAAACTGGATGTAGGATAAATCTGCGAAAACTAGATCTGGGAAATCTATGAAAACTAGATCTGGGAAAATCTACAAAAACTAGATCTATGAAACTGGATTAAAGTAAATCTATAAAATCTGGATCTGCATAAGTCTCCGAAAAACTGGATTGAAGTAAATCTGTGAACACTAGACCTGGGACAAAACTGTGAAAACTAGACGAAGTAAATCTGCGAAATTTGGATTAATGCAAAATCTGGATTTGGGAAAATCTAGCTTAAAGTACATCTGAATCTACGAAAACTGGATGAAAGTAAATCTATCACTAAGAAAAACATGTTAGAGACAAACAAATCAATCACAAAACACCAACAAGTATTCTTTAGCTGTTTTTTTCTTTTTTCTTTTAGTTGTGTTTTTACCTCTTTTCCTCCGTTATTTTTCATCAAACTGCATGGGTGTTTACTGTCTTTGAATATTGCTATAAATTTTCTGTTGAATCTTTATGCTCTTTTGTTCACTGTCGTAGTAAGTTAGATCGTGTCTTTTGGTGCATTTGATTTAGCTCTGTTTAACTCAGTGTGCCTACAAAAGAATTTTGGTTATTACCGAATGATAAGATTAGTTAGCATGGGTATTTTAATTTTTGTTGAACAGTGAACTATTAATACGAGTGTTCTAGCTTCTGTTTTTTCTTTCACCTTATTTTCATTTTTATTTCCTTGTTATTCTTACTTTTTCTCAATTTTTTTTATCTTCACGTTGCATGGCCTTTTTGGATAAGGAAAAAGGGTTTGTTCTAGCTTGTTAAAATAATTGCTAGGGTGTATGCTCACTAGGGTAGTGATCGGTTATGTCTCTCATCAAGTTTATTTATGCTGGATAATGTGTTCCACACCTTCATTTAATTCAGATTATCAGTTTTCCTTAATCTGTATTTAATGGATTTCAGCATCCCATGTGAGCCCCACTTTTGGACCCAGGAGAGGAATGCCTAACCCCTTCCCTCTCCCCTCCAAGACCTACCCGGAATGGTTCAACCGGTGCCTTGGGCTGCGGGAGTCACTATTAAACCGAGCATGCTTTCCGATGTCGATCTCGGAGGTCCCATCACCTCCAATCCCATGTTTGATGGGTGGCGACTCCATATCCAGCCCAAGTGGCAAGTGAGCCGTTTTCTGACGCTCACAATTTGTATATTGTAATACTCCGGAGTGCAGAGTAGAAAAAGAAACTGTAATATGTTTTTCAATTTAATAAAAAGCTAAATTCTCTTTTGCTGATAAAAAAAAAAGTATCTAAACAAGCTTATTTCTAAATTATTTACTCTCTCTCATCCTAAGCCCTCCCACAGCAACCCATCTTAACACATGGTAGATGATGGATGTCCATACAATACAACTCATCATCCAGCATTCCAGCCTATACTAAACACAAAATTTTGCAAAGTTCCTATGAAGTAAAAAAATAAACAAACCAAGACAAAAGAAGAAAAACAAATGTGGCAGTTGAGTCTATCGTTGCATATTTATCCCATAATCAATGAACAAGCCTTTAGCGTTAATCCACGATAATATATGCTAAAGATTTTACTCAGAACATCAGGCGTGTTATGATATACATCACTACATAATCATCCACACCAAGACCATCAACAGAGTGAACAGACACAATAAACAAAACAAGGAAACATATGATACTGAATTATATATGAACCAAAACTTTTGTTTTTTTATATATAAATTCCTTCTACACCAAGGATACTGCAGTTAACCAACCTTGCAAGGCCACGCCCAAAGCACCCTCAACCCCACATGTCACTGTCACTTTTCTTTTCTTTTCAAAACAAAAGGTCCATTTAAGAACAAGGTAAAAAGAGATAAGATATAATGAATTAAAACTTACAGACTGAGATCAGTGGTGCCACTTTTTAATCTTTCTGGTTCTTCTGTCTTGAACTGACAATCATACAATGGACTATTTCCATATATATCTTTAGATAGTGATTTTGTTGTCCGCTTCTTTGTTGGTCGAGCTTCAGGATCAAAAATAGGAACCTCTACGTAAGGAGTTGAAAGCCCCGGTCCACCAAGTTGCAACTCTGGAGAATCGGCAGGATCCGCCCACGATAGTGGGTTAACTGCAGTAGAATAACATATATGGACCTTGTCAACAAGAAGACATTTGAGTACCATTTGAACAATTAAGGTTCTAAAGTTATCTTCGAAGATGCACGTTTGAGTACCATCCACACCAGAGATACCTTGTACTTTAAACCAAATAGCATGCCTAACCATATGATTCAATTCATTCTTATAGACAGTGAAGAGTCAAGAGAGTAAACCAACTTTCCAAGAGTTGAGTGTATTGATTGGAACTAAAAAACATGTTGTGCACAGATAGCCCATCCCAAGCTCGAGGATTAGAGAAAAGCCTGGTAAACCAACCAATTTCTCTTGGTTTCACTGAATCCAGACACAAACAACATTCCACCCCCATGAGGAGATGCCCATTTTAGGAAAATTTTCCACTCAAATCACAATGATTTAAAGGTTAAAAATAGTCTACAATAGAATTATCAAAAAAAAGTCTACAATAGAAAGGTGCACATAAGCCAAGGAAAATGAAGGGGGGGAAAGAATATGACTGAGGAATAACAGCAATCCAGTATATCCCATAGCCATCCCATTAGCCCTATACCATGATTAACGATTAACTTAAATCAGATAAGCATTTCAGAACACAACTTGGTTTAATTTAATGTAAATTCACCAACAATGTTGTGTATCATGCAATCTTCTATTAAACCAGAAAAACAAACTGAAGTTAATTCAGTCAGATAGATGGGTTTCAATCTAAGGGTTTTATGGATGATAAGTTCTAAAGAAGTTCTATTATATCAAGCTGGGCCAAAACTAAAGGAATTTTAATAAATAAATTATGTTCTCCAGTAGGTACTCATAATTATGGTTAGTTTCTTCACGCACCATCTGTAGGTTCAAGAGGACTTGAAATTCCAAGACCAGAGCCATCATATGAAGGTGCCACCCGTGGGGGGCCTGGGGGCCGCTTTCTTACATAGTTTTCTTGTAATGGTTTTGGGATTTGGAATGAAAATTGTGACATAGTCACCCCAGCATCAGTATACTCTGGGTGTTCAAGTAAATATCTGCACAAACCAGAAACATGTAAAACAAATGTCAAGGAAAGACAGAAAACCAACATTTTCCTATTACAACATTTACTTTTTATCACCTTTAGTTATGGTCACCCCACAATGAGCATACTCCTAATATTCTTAGTTTTTATTTTATTCATGATCTTCTGAAGAACAAAAACCAAGAAGGGAGGGACAGGAAAAAGTCATTTTTTCAGTTATTGTCATGGAGTACATGTACCTCTGGATCTCCACCATGGACCGGAGTCTCTTTCCTGATGGTGCAACATAATAACTGAAAACATTTAAAGAGAAATCAAAATATTGTTGTGATTTGATGAATCCACAAAATATAAAATGTATCATCAGTTATCAAAAAGGGTCATGGATCATCAATTTCTTAATAGGATGTCTAGTGAATTTCCAAAATTATATATGTGGATTAACAATATATAGATTCAACAAGAGGAATGAAATCATATTACAACATCAGTTGCAGGACATGGTAGCACCCAGGACTGGAATAGATTTTTTTTATACAAGAGAGACACAATCCGAGAAAAAGAACCAACTAAAGAATCTACAAAGAAAGATGTAGTCCAACTCCAACGAATGCAAACTATTTGTGTTGATTGAACATTGATGACCCTCAATGGCTACCCATCCGCAGCTTAATCGCCCTCCCTATGAACATGATGATAGCTAATTCTTAAACACAGCATAATAATCATAGAAAATGACATAATAAACTATTTACTGCACAGTCAGGAGTAATTGACAATATGTTCCAATTCATTAAATGCAACACTTAATCGCTGTTATGTGCCTATAGGTTCTGAACAAGTGGGCTGTTAGTGGGTCCATGGGGTCAGGTATTAGAGATTTAGGTTCTCAAATGTATGGAGCTGGCAGGGTGGGGGGCACATCTGGGTAAACTAGTGTGAGCCATTTACGTGTAAGAGGCTTGGAATGGTTGGTCACATAAGAGTAGGGATGTATGAGGGTTACTCCCTTGAGGAATGCTATGAAGTTATCTAATTACACTTTCATTGGAGGTTATCCACTTTACTCCTAGTCCAGGAGGCCAGTTACTCTCAAAGCAAACTACTCTCTTTTCTACATTTTACATTTTGATTCTATTTTCTCAGTTAATGTCCAAGCAGGAACGTAACACACACTCAAAAAAAAAATATTGATCCTTTTCATGCACATCCACTTTTTCCATTAATGACATTGATCCAAAATAAAAGTAATGCAGAATTTAACAACTGATTTTTTGACTTTCTCTAGCAGACTGATATCCAGATCATTCATTCTTTTCCGCCTGGATCAGGTATTAGTTGTTCTGTTCTTGATTCTTTGGTAGAAATTTGCTATTTGCTATCCTATTTGCAAGAACTAAGGCTTCAGGTATTTGAAAAATCTATTTTTGTTCATTTCAAAAGCTAATAGACTATTACTAACATACAAATAGCAACAATAGGTAATTTAGAAATTGATAAACCGTTACAAAGGCACAAGACAAACCACTGAGTTCAAGGTACATACAAATAGCAACAATAGGTAATTTAGAAATCAATTTTTAAAAAGGCGTGCACTTCATCTAAGGCACAATGCACACCAAGCACACGCCTTTCTGAAAGGAGCTACACCTGGGTTCAAGTAAGGTACATGTCTTGCCTATGCACCTAGGCAAGCATTCTTAAACACTGCTTAAACCTCAAACCTTGAGGATTACACCTCATCCATCTAAAGGTCCTGGTGCCTTACCTCATGGCTGTGTTTTTAAACATTGCTTGATACCTTTGTCTCTTCTTTATAAAAATTCATCTTTCAAAAAAAAAAAAAACTGCTTGATTACCTGTAAAGAGACTCAAAGCAACATGGTTTGGCAGCTATTTCAATCTTATATCAAAGACAAATTCCTTGTATACAAGGTATGAAGAAATCTGAATATTTTACTCCAATAGGAATATCCACTTTCAGCAAACAGCAAATAAAAGTAGTTGTGAGTTTATCATCCAAACAAAGTTTGACCAAAGTTCTACAAATCCATTCCAAATTTTTTTAATGATTTTTAAATAAACAAAATAAGTTAGACTGAATATAGAGTTAAGTTTTATGCATATTAAGGAATATTTGTTCACTTGCAATTATTATCAGTACCTGATCAGAGTTGTATTACATCAAAAGAACTGCACAGTACAAGGACTAGTAGAGGAAAAGAACATTAAAAAAAACAGAGAGGTTGAAACCCTTGTCCAAATAAGAGAACTTTGAAAAAGAACTAAGAAGAAAAATGAAAATGAGAAGGTATACATACATATCAGCAAACCTGGTGCTCCCTTCACCTCTGATCCTAAGGAGCCGTTCCCATCCAGGAGGGGGCTGTGCAATATTAGGTTTGTCAATTGCCCAAAGCCTGCTTCCATCTTGGGAGATATCTGTTGGATCATCACAAGTTATACCAGGACGCCATGCACAAGCTGTTTCACACACAAAAGGGTTCTGCAAAATAGTTTCACGTATTTCTTCATATTTTTCCTTAGTTGGGATAAGCCTCCATTTAAAACAGTTAGCACACTGGACAGTAAATGCCCCTACAGAGGGCAAAATTCTCGAAGGTGGGTTTGGTTTTGTGTAAATAGACAAAGGTTGAAGTTGATAACCATCAAGGTCAGCGTCATTAGCCAGTTCACTTTGATCTGTATCAGTGACCTCAGGATTATAAACCACTAACTGGTTTGAAGTATTTCCATTAAACTGGTCATATTCATCCTCTAGGAATTGCACATCATCTTCTTCCTCTCCCTCCAAGGGAGAATAATACCCAGGTTGCTGAATAGTGTCATCCAAGTGACTTAAGGAGCTAGACTCAGTCAGTTCATTCTCCTTTAACTTTGGGGGAGCATCACCATGAAATGTTTGCATCTGAATAGACCTTTAGTAATCTGCAAATATCGATGATATCATGATAAATAGCATGTATTGATAGTTCGTAAACCTTCTACCACAAGCTATGGTTTTGTGGAGAAATAAATAAACAGATGAGCAAGTCTAGGGATGGCAATTTTCCCCATTTCCCCGGGGATCCGCCCCGAATGGGGCGGGGATGGGGATGATTTTCCCCCCTTGCAGGGACGAGGATGGGGAAATTTTCATCCCCGTTAGAGGGGACGGGGCAGGGATGGGGAGAGCACTCCCCGCCCCATGGGATCCCCACTAGTATATATGTATTTATGTATTCATATGTTATATATGTATATATATACACATACATCTATATGTTAATATTTTTAAAATATGGTTGAATATATTTGAATCTTTTCTAATAGGATTGTAATTTTTAATTATTTTATTTTTATTTTTTTAAATAAAATAAAAAACAAAAACAAAATTATTAACATTATACAAAATCACAAGGAGTGGAGATCCCTACGGGGATGGGGACGGGGATGGGGAGAGGCTCCCCGTTGCCATTCCTAAGCAAGGCACAATACAAAAGTCAAGTCTTCTGTCCAAGCAATTGGAATTCATTTATCAATCCTTTCCTCAAAAGGCTACTACCATCACAAAAAATAAAATAAAACAAAAGAGAATAGAAAGAAAGGGGGAAGGAGTAAGGAGCAGGCCGAAAAGGAGTAAAGGAAATGGGTTGGAATAGTAAGCCATGATTTGGAGAATAACAATTTAACAATGCATATTGCCCTTGAGGTGAAACAGGATTTATCTCTCTGACAACAGATAGTTGGTCAAAACTTTGTTAATTTGAGTATTTTTCACCATTGCCTAACGGCAACTAAACCATCCAGATAAGTGACTTAACGCGTACCACCCTAGAACACAATTCATCAATAAGTTGTTGCATTGCTTGTTCTGTAGCATATATAATCACAATGGAGCATCCATCTCTTGTTGATCTTCACTGCGCTTGCTACGGCATGAGACTTCAAGCCATCTAAACTGATCTACACAATTGGATGTAAAGCAGCCCGCACCACACACACGCACACAAGAAAAATAAAAAATAAAAAAACTAGAAATAACAGAAGAGCTTAAGAAGCAACGCATTTCGATCCTAAACGTCATAACAAACAGGTAGGAACCGATCTATAATAACACTTCATACCAAATCCATGGCGTTCAAAGTTCAAGAGAAACTAACCTTTTGACTATATAAACAGACTTATCTTGAATCGAACAATACTAACTACCATGCCACGGATATCTAATCTTCCAGCATTTCTTGTTCAATCCCTGAAAAAAGAAATAAATCTATCACATTCAATGCAACAGACACGAAAACCCAAAAGAAAACAGAACCAAACGATAGAAACAGATCGCCCTGAACATGTATGGAGTTGTCTAGACTTCGGCTAATAAATATATAAAACTAACCAACAAATTCCCAGATAAAAGAACAATGGACATGGCGATAGATAAAAGCTGAACACACCCGATGCATTGGAAAAGAGACGAAAGAAATACAAGAAAGGTCCGATCCCCATGAGAATGTTGAAAAACAATGAGATCCAAAAGCTGAAACTATACGGAAAAAAAAAAAATCATAAAATCTGAACATTCAGCATGCGAACCAAAATCCAAACCAAAGCCGCCAAATCTTCGTTTGAATTGCATATTCAAGTTCAGACCTTAAAAACCAATCTAACTACACCATTATCTTTTTCTTCAGAAAAACAAAACCCAAACCATCAACAGCTCCAAAACGGTAAAACCCCGGTGAAATCCAAAACCAACGAGCCGGAGACGACTATTTCCATCTAGCATCCGGCACCCATGGAAATTTCAGAAAATACCGCTTCGTCTCCGCACAGTTCTGAAACAACGAGCCTTGCTTCGTTCTGCTCGCAGAAAGGAAAAAAGAGAGACACCGCAACAGAACAGAAGCCAAGAAGCCTTCTTTCTTCACCTAAATAAAACGAATTTTTGTATTAAAATACGTATCCAGAATATAAAGTTATTCAAATACCCCTGATATTTTTATGTAATAACGAATCTGGTAATATCGCCGAAAGTACGTTATAATGGAGGAAGCAAAAGCCGGAGACCCACAGCAGAAGGTTGAACTTCAAACTTTATTATCCCAAAGTACGGTATCTAAAATTCTAAATTTGGTAATACAATAAAGGACCTCAGCAATGAATCTTTCCGTTAGATTCATAAAAGATTTACTTTCGCCTTCTTCCGGTACTTTCTTTAGATGATATCACTTGTTTTTATTGTTATATTGAGCTGTATTTGGTTGCAGCGCAAATAAATGCATTTTTTAATAGAAAGATGATTTCATTAAACAGGAGAATAAAGGGAAATATGGACCAACAAACAAACCAAAACAACACAACACCAAATTAGAAGAAAACAAGCTAAGATAAGCAAAGACACAAAGAAAACACTAACCCAAGGAATCTAAAACAGACACGAACCAAAAGGGGAAACTAACTATTCACCATCTAATAAAAACAGTTATAATCCCGTTGGCTCACTTTGGAAGGAGTATAGCGACAATATTTGCTTCCTAGGATCCACATGAAACTCATAACCAAATCTTCACAAAATTTTACAATATCGTCCTTTAAAAAACCCAAGTCTTGCTTGACCATTTGCCATTGAACCATTCAAAAGAGAAACAAAATTTCACAACGCAACTTGTTGTGACCCAACCTTTTTTGTAAGCTTAATAGCTTCAACAAGAGTGAGAGCTTCTACAACTAAAGAAGAACCAGAAAGATTTTATCCGCATCCAACCAATCAACAAACTCTTTTCTGCATCCCTTGCCAAAAACCCACAAGCAGCTTTATTTGGCAACAAAAAAACACCACCTACATTTACCTTGAAAAAGCCCACTTTTGGAGGAGATAGTGTTGTTAAGCGGACTGGATTTGGTAAAATACGATCTAATCCAATATTGGGCCATTTATAAATGGACTGGACCAAATCCATACAAACCAAGTCCGATATGGTCCAAATAAAATGGAAATGGACCGGATTGGGTCCAATCCAATCTAAATTGAATCAAACACTAAGATAACATGAGAAATCTAGAAAATATATAAAAATAGCACTTTGATAAAAAAAAAAAAAGGACTTCGGTAAAATGCAAATGGACCGGATTGGGTCCAATCCAATCCAAAATGAATGAATAAAAGTACTTTTGTAAAAGTCCTTTCATGACAAAAGTACTTCCGCACAAGTGATTTTATAAAAGTATTTTCATAAAAGTGTATTCGTGAAAGTACTTTTATAAAAGTGTTTTCACGTAAAAGTACTTTTGTAAATGTGCTTTCATAAAAGTACTTTTGTAAAAGTGCTTTCATAAAAGTACTTTTCATAAAATTACTTTTATAAAAGTACGTTTCTAAAAATGCTTTTATAAAAATGTTTTCATAAAAGTGCTTTCATAAAATTACTTTTATAAAAGTACTTTTGTAAAAGTGCTTTCGTAAAAGTGTTCATAAAAGTGCTTCCATGAAAGTGCTTTCATAAAAGTGTTTTTATGTCAGCTTCAGTTTTGATCAGTTTCAAATTAGACAAGGATTTGGCCTCGTGATCAGATTATTAGGAATATGGTTTAGGTTCAATTCAGACTAATAAGAATATGGACCAATTTGTTTTGGATTAGCCCAATCCAATAATTATAATGGACGATCCAAATCCAATTTGATAAGGTTTGGATCAGTTTGGACTCAATCGAAAGTCGGTCCATTGACACCCCTAGGAGGAGAACAAGCCTCCTAAAAATCCTTGCCTCTACTAATGGAGAAGCTTTCCCACCCTTGATGCAAGGGCAAAGACCTCTTTGTTCTCAATTTGTTTATTCAATGAATGACCAAGAGAGGATTAACGATTTAGTTTTCAAAATAAAATGTATTTCTATCCTTCTAAATTTCCCATCAATAAATAGAAAAATTAACAGGAACATGCTCAAACCAATTAATAAAGGGCCTACAATTCAATATCAAATATGTTCTTAGGCTCATCCAGAACCAAGCCAAATACATCTACCTCTATCATAGAAAAAGAAAATGCTTTTTCTTTGGGTCAATTGGAAGGTGCCATATGGTTAATTAGCACCTTCTCAATTTGAGCCTGACCCTTTACCCACACACCATTGCCATTCTTTAATTTAATAATTTTGTTCTTTGCTCTTCTCCTCACGGTAGCGTTGTGAAAAAAAAAAATCTTGTACTTTTATCCTCATACTTTAACCAATTGACTCTAGACTTCTAAGCCTACATATTTTCCTCCCTATGTAGCAAGGTATGTAACTCCTCCAATCTTTCAGAATTAGCACCATTAAAGTTAGATCCCCCATTTCCTCTTCTCCCCCTTTCTTGAATTCTTATTTACTCCAATTCCTAAGTACAGAGCTTAGCTTGTAACACGAGCCAGGCTTGGATTTTCAGTCCTCAGGCCCAAGAAGTCGGGCTTTTTGATTTCTCAGGCCAGGCTCGGGCCTAGCCCTTAGGTAGCCCGAACGTGGCCCAATTATATATATATATATATATATATTGTGTGTGTGCATGTAAATGTTGCATACATATTTACATATATATACATACATATTTGTATATATAACATTTGTATAGAAATTTTGCATACATACATAAATATATGGATATATATATATATATATGCATAAATACATTTATATATGTATAATTTTAAAGTGGGTTCATTGACCAACCGAAACCCAGATTAGGCCTGAGCCCAACCCGAGTGCATCAAATTACATGGCAGGTTGGGCTCGGGTTGGGAAAATTGGGCTTGACCTCGGGCTCAAGCCTTAAGCCCAAATTTAAGAGGCGGGCCTGGGTTGACCATAAACCCAGCCCAACCTACCCAACTTGCACCCCTATTTGCCACTCTAGTTATCTTTTTATAGAAGATTTGTTTCTTTTCCTTTGCTACCTCTCCATAAACAAAAGAACACCACCAAGGGACCCTAAAATTGTGATGGTGAGGATCAACTAAACAAGCCCTTTTGCTCCTATAATACAAATTCCGTATCGCCTATTTTGTAGGGAAATGCACAACACAACACCAGTCCTCTATTTGGGGGCATTTGAACCCGTGTAAATCTTCTTCAAACATTGATCTGAAATTAATTTTTTATTTATCAATCCCCCTAGAAACTTTCTTGAACAAGAACTCCTATTGTAGAGAAAACACAACCTACCGAATTTGTTTTTTCAAATTTAGGAGACAAAATTCCAAAATTTTCCTTTCTAAAAGAATGCAACTCACCATCACAATTTAAGGGTGTGCTAACAACTAAAAACCTTACCTCCAAGAGACCCATTTTTTTATCCAAGAGATCCTTAACCACCTTATCCCCAACAACTAAAACCTTACCTCCACAAAGGGATTTTTTTTATTGGAGGTTTCTTATATTTAAATCAGTCACAATCCCATAGGGTAAACTACCTTAGATGAATGCAGACAAAACTTTTGACAACCCTTGAAAGGCAATTTTAAATGGTGATTTTCTCCAATGTTTGGAAAGGCAATTTTAGTGTTGAAATAGCTCATGACTTCCCACTCTATGTCCTCATTTGGTAGCATATTCTTATAAGGTTTGGCATAACTACTCAGGTTGTTCTCCCTTGATTCTAAACATTAACCTTATAGTTTAAATATTTTTTTATATGAGGGTTTAGGGTTAACAAACCAGAACCTGCTCCAAAATCTAATTCATCAACTCATTCCAAAGTTTTCTCCTATTCATACATGGTAACAACTTCAACCTGCTTTGTTTTTTTCATGAATTTTTCATTTTCCCACCAAACTATAAACCTCGTTTAACAAATTACCCAGAACCAAACTAATGGATTCAAAAGTTATTCCCTTATTGGAATTTACTAGCATTAGGCCTACAACTATGCTACTTGATTTGGTATTTCTTCAATGGCAAGTTTCAACCTTTACCTCTTTTGGTTAGCTATCTCAATTTGAACCCTCTCCACTCTATTCCCTATGACCAAAAAAGGTAATATTTGTGCCTACCATATTATTGCCTCCTTAAAGCCAAATTCCTTTTTGATCAAAAACTTGGACCTTGTCGAAAAACATCATTAGAAAAGCCAACAAACCCAACTTCCTATTAAACCTCCTAGTGCTTCCATCTTCCACCACACTAGTACCTCCATCTTCTAAGAATAGTTGCCTTTTAACAAGGAAACACCGACTTCTCTTTACTAGTTTAGCAATATTCCCTTCCCATTTCAGTTTTAATGATTTGTAATGTTTATTCTTGTCTTATTACCGCCTCCTTGAAGACAATTCCTCTCTAACTGAAAATTTGGACCTTGTTAGAAAATCTTCACTAGAGAAACCAACAAATCAAACTTCCAATTGAACCTACCAGTACTTCCATCTTCCATTACACTAGTACCTCCATCTTCTAAGAATAGTTGCCTTTTAACTAGGAAGCACACACTACTACTCTAGACTGGTTCAGCAATATCTTCTTCCTATTTTAATTTTGATGATTTATCCTTCATTTTACCTCTCTTATTAGGTTATTTCCTTTCTCCTTGAATACTAACCACACTCATTCCTTAGCTTTTAACCATGGCCCATAAACACTAGGACCCTCAAAATCTTCCATCATCCATTTATCCATTTTTTGAATTAAGAGCTCCACCTCTTTTGTTATTAAATATTTTTATCTACACAACTCTTTTCATTGTGACCCTACCTTCCACAATTATAACAAAATAGCAAGAGTTTTTTTCATACTTGAAAGGGACCACTCTTCCTTACCATATTCCAAGAATCCCTTATATCGTTTGGTTAGCAATTTTTTGACATTTAACTCACTCTAATACATAGACCAGTATCCTACTTTGGCCTTTTCTTCCTCCTCTTGCACATCCATTATGGATTAATTATAGATTCACCCACTTCC